TTCTTCTTCTTCTTCTTCTTCTTCTTCTTCTTCTTCTTGATGAATGGGGTTGTCAATGATTGTATGAATATTTCTTAATTAAAATATCAAGTTGTTTTAGAAAAAATATTGATAATCCGTCAGAAACATATCTACCCTTTGTTTCTTAATTAATATAGGAAGTGGTTTTAAATGATTAACTTTTTTTGACTACGCGAGATGAATTTGGTCGGGGGATCGCACGACGGGATGCGGCCGGGCCAATGCCGCGCGAGCACGCTCCAGCGGTCCAGCCCCAACCAGCTGAAAAGTGCAGCGGAGGAAACGACGCGGGACGTGGTCGAGCGTGGAGGGCGCGACGTGTCGACGCCAGTGCGGTGTTGCTTCCCACTGGCGGCCACCATCCGCGTGACAGCGGCCGTGAGCCACAAGGTGCCACCCTGATGGCTCCGTTTACGCTTTGGATCAAGGCGGTTGGCTCGGGACGAAAGGACACGAATGGTCTACACTTCAACTGGGAAATCCGTCGTGGTCTTTGAGTGGCTTTATGCTCCTATTTGCTTGACACGAATGGCGACGTGTTGGTCTTCCAGTCGTGGAAGCTTTGAAGAGATGCCGTACCTGGGCGCCCCTTCTTGTTTAAGGTAAAATCCACAGCAAAGCGGCGCAGCCTTCAAGTTTCACCTCTGCTGAAAGCTCAGTACAGTTACCTGTTACAGGTAGCACCGATGTATGCTTAACCTGTTACAGGTAGCACAGATATCCTGTAAATATCGTAGCACTGCATGCTGAAAAGGAAAAAAGGCGAGCGCTTTTGAACGGAGATGCCATGACGATAGGAGAGGCGGCACAACGCTTTCCACGCGGGCGCCACACGTGTCCCGTATGCGACAAACACCGAATCCTCGCAAAATCTCGCACCACCGGTGCGGTGCCACATCACCGCGCAAAGCGGGTGCCTCCATTTGTTACCGCCCATGGCGTGAACCCAAGCACCCAAAAATGTTACCGCCCCATCATCTGTCAAACCGACAAGCGGACAAGGTCGGCACGCGCAGAGGCAGATATATACTTCTCTCTTATAAAGCATCACCGCTCGGAGGCGAAATATCTGCGCACACACACGCGTTGGTAGTAGGAAGGAGTGACTCCCCACAGAGAACAAGCCCACACCGACCAGAGCGGGAGCAGCGAGCGGCTTCCTTATCCGGTTTGTAGCCTCTTCGTTGTCCATGGGAAGCGAGTGCAAGGGCCACCAGCCGCAGGACGACGGCGGCGTGGCGCCGTTCGTGGCCAAGACGTTCCACATGGTGAGCGACCCGGCCACGGACGCCGTGGTGTGCTGGGGCGGCGCCAGCAACACGTTCCTCGTCCTCGACCCCGCCGCCTTCTCCGACTTCCTCCTCCCCTCCTACTTCAAGCACCGCAACTTCGCCAGCTTCGTCCGCCAGCTCAACACCTACGTACGTATGCACGCGCTCTTTGTATGAATATACTCTGCTCCAATCAGCTCTCGACTGTGGTTGTGCTCATACCTGCTCCCTGTTGCTGCTTTGATCTCAGGGTTTTCGCAAGGTTGACCCGGACGTGTGGGAGTTCGCGCACGAGTCGTTCCTGCGCGGCCAGGCCAAGCTGCTGCCGCTGATCGTGCGCAAGAAGAAGAGGGCCGGGAGGGAGCTGTGCGAGGAGGAGGAGGAGGTGCGGGGGACGATCCAGGCGGTGCAGAGGCTGCGGGACGAGCGGAGGGGCATGGAGGAGGAGCTGCAGGACATGGACCGCAGGCTCTGTGCGGCGGAGAACCGGCCGGGCCAGATGATGGCCTTCCTCGGCAAGCTCGCCGACGACCCGGGCGTGGTGCTGCGCGCCATGGTCGCCAAGAAGGAGGAGCTGGCTGCAGCCGGTGCCGGTGGCAAGGATTCAAGCCCGGATAAGAGGCGGCGGATCGGGGCCGACGCCGGACGCGGAGCTGACGCTGCGGATCAGGCGGCCCAGAGCAGGGCCGTGCCGTTCCCCTTCTCTAATCTGGGACAGGTGTTCTACTGATAGACCTTGGGAGTCGAGAGTTCATAGATAGGTGTACTGTACACGTGTGATGTTTTGGTGTTTATGTATGTACAGTGTACTTTCCCCCTCGGCATAGTTGCTATCTGACCGTCTGATTGCCGCCATAGTAGTCACTCCACCCATGAGTTTTAGCATTTAAAAATGTGTTTTTTAAAGTGGCCTCATATGTATCTGAGTTCATCGATGCATTTTCCCTCCACCCACCCCTCACCTCTCATCTCTCATGCTCAGCTCATATTTAAGAGCATGCCGGAAATCTGCCCCCCTATACATGTGCCTGCCGGCCCCTCATATGTTGCGCCGCACATCTACATGCCTCAAATTTCGTTCCTCAAATCCATGCAATTCATGCACGTCGATCATACAATACAAATTGTGTGAATTCAAAAGTTTAAAACAAAGCAAAGCAAATCATAGTTGAACAAACCAGACATGCCAAAATGAAATCAATGTTCGAGCGTGACGGATGGCCTCAGATCACTGACCTGGCACCTGCTCCGAGCTGAATACGTCGTGCTCCAGGCGGAATGCGTCATGCCCATGCTCACTCACGCCCGAACGAGTTGCGGCGAGTCACATACATCTATCGTTGGCATCTGCGTGGGTGAAAAGCTCTCCAAAATGGCCTAGTCGCCTCGAATTCTCCTCTGGCCCAATGAGGTCGGACAATTTAATCCGCGTTGGCGCTCGGATAGAAGGGGTGCGGGGATCTGGACGCGACGAAGGAGACAACAACTCCACCATGTCCGAACCTCCCTGCGCCGCCGTCTCCCTCTCTCGCTGTCGACGCCGCCGCAACTTCCGGGCGACGTTCTCTGCCTTGCAAGTCGCAGCTGACGAAGGGACGCCAACGGACGAGGCAGGCTGCGTCTCCGTCGCGGCGGTCCGGGTCGGGCTGGACAACATCTCTGGTGGTGGATCGGGACCGATCATGAGGATTGGGAGCAAGGGTGGAGGACGGTGAGGGTCCGGGCACAAGAAAGGTTGGAGGGCAGGGGGAGGAGGATGAAGTGTTTGGTGGATTTGATGCAATTTTCGGTGGGGTCGGGTTGTCGGGTCCAATGTGGCAGGCGTGCCTGGGTGCCCCCATACCCGCCCCATATTTGGGCTGGATATGAGGGGTGCCGGTCAGCCCGGGCGTTTGAGGCCCATTTAAGGAGCCCGTTTGGGTCGGAAAATCGTGACCAGCCAGTGACTGGGCTGCTGCCCGGGCATATGAGGCTGGTTTGAGGCACCTGGCTGTAGATGCTCTAAGGCTTATATGAACAGGCCTGAACGCGTTCAATCGCGTCAGACCCAACAGGCAGGACACACCATAAATTGCACAAATTTCCTCATTCACCCAGGCCCTCCCCTAGCTTTGCCACTGTCCTGATCCCTCAATGTCGTCAGGATCTTGATGAACCTACTCCTCAGCCGTCTCGCTGCCTCGAACGCCGCCATGATATGTCTGGCTATTGTCGGACCGCACCTTGCCCTCTATGTGTTTGACAAATTGTTTGAGTAATTTTTTGTGTGAAAATGATGGATTCAGATGGTTTGCTGGATGAGGAGTATGGAAACACAGAGCTTGATGAGTTGATGCAAAAGGGTTTCTTCGATTCATCTGAGTCGGGCGTAGATGTCTAGATGTTGATGATCATGAGCATCTAGGAGGAAATGGACACGGAGGCAGAGCACATTCTAAACTTTAAGGGTTAGATCAAAGGGAGAAGAGTTTTGAACCGGTATAGGGCCGTTGGAGCACGATTGCTCTAGGATTACTTTGATCCTAAACCAACATTCCTTGATATATGGTTTCGTTGACACTTATGTATGTGCAAACCCTTGTTCTTATGCGTGGTGGGGGGAGTGAATGCACATGATTCCTACTTCAAGCTTACCAGGGATTGATAACCCACAAGTATAGGGGATCGTTTGTAGCCTTTTTTGTTTGATAAATAAGAGTGTCGAATCCAACGAGGAGCTAAAGGTAGAACGAATATTCCCCAAGTTCTATCGACCACCGATACAACTCTACGCACACTTAACATTTGCTTTACCTAGAATAAGAATAAAATTAGAAGTACTTTGCAGGATAGGTTTGCAAGATAACAAAGAACGTGAATATAAAAGTTAAGTGCTGTTTTAATAAAAGTACAATTTAATAAAGCAAGTGTGAAAAAGTGGTGATAGGATTTGCAGAACTGTCCCTAGGCAATCGATAACTAGACTGGTACTCATTCTTGCAATTTTATATGAGGGAGAGGCATGAGCTAACATAATTTTCCTTACTTAGATCATATGCGCTTATGGTTGGAACTCTAGCAAGCATCCGCAACTACCAAAGATCATTAATGTAAAACCCAACCATATCATGAAGTATCAAGTCCTCTTTACTCCCATACGCCATAACCCCCAAACTCGGGTATGTGCTTCTGTCACTCACACCACCCACCATGAGAGAACCATGAACATATTGCAACACCCTACAGCGGGGACCCCTCACATTTGCGCGAGACGAATGGCACCTTAGGACAGCACCATAATAAAAGATACACTCATACCAACCAAGATCATGATTAACCCATAAGAAAAAATAGATACACTGAAACATCATAGGATGGCAACATAGTATTGGATAATAATATGATGCATAAAGCACCATGTTCAAGTAGAGGGTACATTGGGTTGCGGGAGAGTGGACCGCTGAATATGGATGGGGGAAGGTGATGGAGTTGTTGGTGAAGATGACAGAGTTGTTGGAGTAGATCACCGTCACACGATATTGCCCCGGCGGCATTCCGGCGCCACCGGGAGAGAGGGGAGAGAGCCCCCCTCCTCCTTCTTCTTCCTTGCCCCCCTAGATGGGAGGAGAGTCCCCCTGGTCCATGGTTGCCATAACGGTAGAGGGGCGGGAGCCCCTTCGAGAGTGATTCAAAGCAATAGTCTATAATTTGAGATAAAGACATCAATACTCAAGCATCCCAACAAACAATCATGTCTTTGAAAATATCAATGCTAAAGAATGATGTCCCTACAAAATCATATAGTTTTGTCATGCTCCATCTTAACACAAAATATTTATCATGTACTACCTGAGTGTTAGCCAAGCAATTGGTTCATACTTTTTAACGCGCTTCACCTTTTTCAACCCTCACGCAATACATGAGCGCAAGCCATGGATATAACACTATAGGTGGAATAGAGTATCACGATAGGGGTAAATTTGGAGAAGATAAAAAGTAAGAAAGTCTCACATCGACGCGGCTAACCAACGGGCTATGGAGATGCCCATCAATTGATATCAATGCGAGGAGTAGGGATTGCCATGCAACGGATGCACTAAGAGCTATAAGTGTATGAAAGCTTAACATGAAAACTAAGTGGGTGCACATCTAACTCTATAATGAAAAATTCCCACTAGTATATGAAAGTGACAACATAGGAGACTCTCTATATGAAAACATGGTGATACTGAAGCAAAAGTGTGGTATTTGCATGCCCCTTCTCTCTCTTTTTGTAGCGATCCAACCTCAAACGGTCGAATCTCTATGCATAAGTGTCATCCCTGGATCGGTAATGCTGACACACACAATACTTCGAAGGATTTATAACAAAGTAGCAATCACACACTTATTACATCGATGGTCTCAAAAGAGGACTAATAACAATAAATATGGCTTAAGGCCATCTAAATAAGATAACATCGTAAGGCTTGGAAGATAAAGTGAGTCCATCAACTCCAACGGCATAGCTGAGTGCACGACAATGACCTAGCGCACCTTACTCTTCATCTGAAAAGTCTGCAACATGATATGTTGCAGCTTGAAATGAGTCAGCACATGGAATATGCTGGCAATATAACACAGTAGAGCAATGAACAGGTAAATGCTATCACTACATGCATATTAGGCCGGTGGAGGCTCTATGGTTATAATGTTTTGCGAAAAGCCAATCTTTCCCTACAACAAAGGAATATATTTTATTTAACTATCATGGTAGTTGGAAAACATTGAGAATGGTAAATCCCATCTCAATCCCAATTAAACAAGTAATTAATAACCGAACAAAGTTAATTTAGAGTGATGAGATCAACATGATAATCCAAGAACCAGAAACTCAAGATGTCCATAACCGGGGACATGGCTAACCATGATTAGTTTATACACTCTGCGGAGGTTTGCGCACTTTTCCCCACAAGACTCGATCTCCTCCGTTGGATTTCTCGCACTACATGGTGTTTTCAGAAACGGATGACCGAGACACAGTCTTTTAGAAACATTAACTCTTTACTTTGGGTGGAAAGTTACACCTACTTTCCCTACATCTGCTAGCCCACCACTGAAAGAGGTCATGCAACCTACTCAACTATGCTAGAGCCCATAATAGCTTGTGGCTGCACAGGGAAGTTTCTAGCATGAATAATCTTATGATCCCTTTAAGCCTGGCTGGCGAACCAAAAAGGACAGCACTGGTATATCCCCAGGTGCCCGCAACTAATCCACCCATATGTGTATTTAAGTAGCCACCTTAAGTTAACCATTAATTAACAATCTCACATCTGTCATGGATACACTCAAACCCAATCCATGTCTACGAGCATAGCATGGCAAATTAAGCATAACGTAGAAGTAACTCCCATGGTTTGATAATAAAAGGGCAATAGGTTCTACCTCATCATCTACTTCCCAAAACCCACATGTTAAAAGATCCTACTCATGAAATGTTTGATGATTGTATCTAATGCATAAAAACTAGGTAATAAAGGGTATTATCAATGTGTTACTTGCCTTGCTGATGATCTACAAAACCTAGAGACTCGTAGTAGCACGCTGCGCACTTTGGGAATTTTATCACAAACAAACAATAGCATATATAAGCACTCAAGCAAAGCTCCACGGGTAAAACTCAAATAAGAAGATCCAAACTAAAAGTTCAACTGAAGAGGTTCGATTTGCAAAAAGAATGGATCAAAACGGAGGTACGAAACTGAAACT